GGGGACCATCCGTCACCCATGCCTACCCATAAAAGGGTTGGCAAAATGACAACCCCTGTTAATTATACGTTTTTAAGGTAATTAAATTGTGTTGCATTTAATAATCTGTATGAATTAAAAACACATATTAATTACTTTCCTTTTTCAATGCACTGGTAGTTGTATCAGTGCACTGGTAGTTGTGTACAGGTGCAATGGTAGATGTATCACTGCAATGGTAGTTCCAAAAAAGGAACGTAATTAATATGAGTTCAGTATACCAGTGCACTGATACAACTACCAGTGCACTGAAAAAGGAAAGTAATTAATATGTGTTTTTAATTCATACGGATTATTAAATGCAACACAAATTAATTACCTTAAAAACCTATAATTAATAGGGGTTGTCATTTTGCCAACCCATACAAGGGTTAGCATGCTAACCGATCCCTTGTTATGTCCCCTCTCAAACACAAATCCATGAAATCTAATATTATGTACCAATTGTTGTTCACCTTTACGCAATCCATACAAAACGATAAATGTTCCAAGTTTCTGCAACAAGCAAAGCATTAGAATCATAACATCCATATCCCATTTTCCCCCGTTCACTTTCCCCTACGGTTACCACCAATCACGCATCAACTTCCCTTTAACATTTCATCATTATTAACATCATTGTAAACTATGAAGTGTGAAGAATATGGCTCAGTTGCTCGGTTTGTGGCCATGGAAAGAACACATGGCATGGCAAGCTGGGCAGCAGGAGAGATCCGAGGTTGCAATACCAACTCCGGTAAATTCGAGAAACGAAAAGCAAACACGCAATGTTAGGAACAGAACAACAACAAGGAACAAGGTTATCGAATTTGGAGCTGAGTCGCGGACTAGGTCGCTCTTTTTAAGACGTTCGCGGCACTGCCCTCGATGCGCACGACAGACTATCAACCGATCATCTCCAGGATAAAACAGCTCCTCTCAATACTCCCGGTTTTGTGCGAAAACCCGAGTTCTCTGAACACTCTCTCTATTGTGTTTATGCTCGTTGTTGTACCTTTTAGGGTTAGGCAACTCATCTATTTATATTGGATGAGACCTTCAGCCTTCCCCTCTTGGTGGAGGATTTGAGAATCTTTTTAAGGAAGGAAATCAAGAGTAATAACTCCTGATTAGACCTTTCTTTAATGCAGACAATTAATCCAATTGATAAAAGTTTCCTTTAATATCAGAAATCAATCCGATTGATTGAAACTTTCCGTTAGTATGGGCAATTGATCTGATCATGAAAGATTCCTTCAATATGGAAAATCAATCCAATTGATTGAACTTTCCTTTAATTCGGTCGATTAATTCTGATTGAAGAAACGTTTCCTTCAATACGGAGAATTAATCCGAATTAACTTCACTTACCTTTTCCAAGGACTTTCCTTTAGTTTTTACAAACTATTCACATTTCTCAACACACAAAACCCGATTTACGTGGTTTCTCCGTTCATTGTGAACGAGACTACTCCACGGATAGCTAGGGCTCTCAGTTCTTTTATTGATGATTGTTTTATGATACAAAGAGTTCGGCCATCAACAATCTACTGGTCTGAAATAAGAGGAACAAACCTAGTGCTTGAGGGATAAGAAAGGAATGAAACTAAAACTCAAGACCAAGGCCGAGTCTGATATGAAGAGTAGTACAACTCGGCTCACTAGTTCCCAATACGGTATCTGACGATAACTACGATTAACATTTATATGATTTCAGTAACGAAATCATGAATCAAGACTTAAGAGTGAGTCAACAACGAGAGATTACAAATAAACAACTATGATGACTAATCAAATTTGAAGGAGAATGAAGAGCTAATAATTTGCATAATGTCACTTCCTAATGTTTGTTCAAAGAACACTTGATCTTAGCCAAATGGTCGAGAAATGTATAATCTCAAGAGTGAAGGGGTAGTTAGGGGTGTAAGTTTGACCCTACAAATCCACTAACCCGTCTCGTCCTTGATGGTCGGGACGGGTCAGTTTGTCTATATGGTTAGTTTAGGGACGGGTCAGCTTTTGACCCTATAAGGATCGGGATGGGTCGGGACAACTTAGGGATGGGTCACTTTTTGACCCTGTCCCTTAGCAACAACAAATATATATCCCATACCACATTGGACCTCTTTGTAAAAGTATTCAAAGTTTAGGTACTAAATTGCAAAAATGATTTTACCACCAAAATTTAAGGACTTATTTGTAAAAAAATGGTAGGTACTAAATTGTAAGAAAAAATAATTTTGGGTACCAAAACGTAATTTATAAAAAAAGTAGTGTGCAAATTAGGGTCGACCCACTGACTCTGCCCATCCCGACCCGTCTCATCCCTTGAGGTTCAGACAGGAATACAGGATCAAGAAGGAGACATGGACGGGACGGACGGACGGTTATACATCTTGACCCTTCAGAGATGGGTCATACAGGGTCAGAGATGGGATAAGGATGAGCCAAGACAATTTTCAGCCCTAGGGGTAGAAGCCCTACCAAGCCTATACATGACTTCCAACCATACTCTTTAGAATCAAGAACAATATAATTATGACTTTATGAGTCATGATCGTAGAAGAGGGGTCATTTCATTACCCATTATGTATACACCTTGATCCTTTGTCTCATAGAACAAATGTTTTTATTGTTTGGTTTGTTGTTTTGAGAAAGACATAACTACCGCCTCAACAAACATAACCACCATCATAATGGGAAGGAGAAGAGGTCGGGGCAAAGCATGAATGAGTGCATAAAATAAAAGTGTAGCATGAGTGACAACATAAGATTATCTTTGGGACGATGGACCATTAATTTAATGTGATTGGCACGAGCAGAAATGTAGAATTGAGACACCGGAATATTAG